AAATATATATATATATATATATATATATATATATATATTTTTTTTTTTTTTTTTTTTTTTTTTTTTTTTCTGTATGTTTACTTGCTTATTTCAACACATTCAAACAGCTGCTAACATACAAGCACCTCAAGATGAACAATACATTTTCCTGAAGATGAACAAATACATTTTGTGGTATTAATTATGCAGTTGTGAGTGCTAAAAATCTAACAAAGTAATGAGTGACAATGTACCAAATTTACGTAGGCGTGAGAAAAAAAACATCAAGGCGTTGCATTTTTTTCTTTGAATAATTTTTACTTTGGACCACCATTATTGGTAAGCTCTCTGATAATACTAAAAATAAATACACTCTTAATAGCTTCAAATATAATTTCAAAAAGTCTCTGGTCTCCGCATATGCCTAAACACCAATTCATTTTTTTTTTCAAAACGTGATATGTGGTCACATATATTTATTATTAACTAAAACATATTTTAAGAATTATGATAATGTATAAAACCTGGCTAATATTTTTGTTTTTATTTTAGTTTCAGTAATTAACTGAAATAGCATTTTGTAATTTTTTCACCTTATTGTCTAAATGTTTTATTTCAACTTTGTTATTGTGGCTATATCTTAAAGGTCTTTAGTTCACCTACAGAACTTATAATATGGTCCTTCCATTAAACTTATATTTATATGTATCAATATTGTTTATGTTGTATGGAAAAAAAATTGAACTTTTAACTTTGAATGGTGATTCAGACTGATTATTGTTCTGCCCAATGTTTGTCAAATTGTAAATATTTAGAATGCTCCATTGAACATGCAAGGATCATACCGAGCTTGGATATATTAAACAGCACGTTCACAAAACATTACAACATTTATATCGTAATAAAATTCTATAATATACTGGAAACAAACAGACACATGCTCGTAAACTTGACTGTGTTTAGGACATATTCTGTTGATTGGTTAACAATCAAAAGTGCAATTACAAAACATTTTTATCGTAAATCTAATAATCCACTAGAAAACAAACAGCTTTATATTATAACAAAATCAATATATTATTAAGCAAAACAGATAATAAATCTTATTACTAGTACTTTGTACTCTATTTGAGTTTTTTTTTACAATATTATAAGGTTAAGAAATTATCATATTTTCATTTAGGCTAATCATGGAGAAATTAGTTTAATTCCTCTATGTGCTAATTGTGCCTGTAACTTTGCTGTTGATCGAGAGCATTTTAGGTACTGTATGTTGAAGTACCAACAGGATTAGGCCTACCACATGCAGTGGAGGCAACAGCAGAAGAAGTGCCTTACAACCACCCACTGGCCACATCATACACCCAGACAGCCACCACCCACTGGCCAGACCAAAGAAGAAAACAGTTCACCTAATTTTTAAAATGCCACCATCTCCCCTTCTCTTTGCACAAGCTGGATCCACAACTGATTTTTTAAATTATTGTTATCATCGTAATTATTGTTCATACCAGAATTATTACAGTTTTCTCTCCATTTTTTTGTTTACAGTGATGAGCTTCGATCCGATGAATCCAGTACTTGTTCAGAGAGTGACTCTATCTCACTTGAGGGCAAAAATGGTGCAAGAAAACATCTTTCTAAGAGGTACTTGGTAACTTGATTAAATTATTGATTGATCGATTGACTGAAGTTATTGTGTTGTCACCCTTATTATTGTTATGATAATCATCATTGTTATTATTGTTTTTATTATTAGTAGTAGTAGTAATGTGATAATAATTATTAATATTATTGACCTTATTCATTTACTATAAAGTAATCTCTTTTGCAGAAGTTCTGGTGAAATTGCAATGGATGACAAACCTGTTTGGAATCCAGAAGAGCTAGCTTTAACTGTCACCAGCAACTTAATGGATCATATGCAAGAAATGAGTATTGAGCTGCCTAAAACAGATGTCAAGGCTTTAGCATGGGGAAGAATTGAAGGTAATATTAAAAAAAAAAAACATTAAAAAAAAAACATAGCCCTTGGTCATATAGATTGTTTGTGTAAAGTTGTATTTTGCACTTAATGTATAACTTAATAGTCTACCCAAATAATCTCTGTCCTGGAGAGAGTAATGTCAGAGGCAAGCAGTAGGCTCATGTTGCTTCAGTTGAATAGTCTAGGATTGAATTTTGAGACTCACAACATGTTTGTGTTCTTTGGGGAAGCCACTTTGTCTGCATTGCTTCTCTCCAAGTAGGAGTTGAAGTGGGTACACTGCTACTGGGATAAATGTGGCTGCAACTTGAATTTTCAAGCAAATTGAATACTATGGTAAATTAGGTATTTCTGGTGCCTTCAACATTTAAAAAATTTAACTTCTACACAATGTGGCCTTTTATGAATTGTCAGTCGAGATATCGCAATTGCGTATACTAATACCAAAGTGTGAGGTTCAGGAATACACCTTCTTCTGCCTCCTAAGCATTTTTAATTACTTTGTTTGGATTTTTATACTGTCAGATTCAAGAGGGGCCAGCCTGCCTGCAAAGAAAATTATATTCTGATTTTAATTCTGAAAGTGCAATTTCCGGCCATTAGAGGTGCCATAATCACAAATTTTCTTACCTCAGTCGCAACCATGGTGGGGCTGAATTTATAGGGGTATAAATCCTCCATCTGTGAAAGTACCTCCCCGGGCCCCTCTATTTTGAATTCCTGGATCCACCACTGACTGCCAACTGGGAAACTTTATTAGGATTGTTGACAATGGTAGTGGCAGTCCATAATATTGTAGTAGAGCAGTATGATTCATACTCTCTTTCTTTTTCCAATTTTCTTGCAATGTTGTCAGTCAGTACTGGAATACAGTATTGTACAAACTATTAACCTGAAATCTGTTACCTCCCAACAGGAAACACCAACCTCTTGTTGGCTGTAGGATTCGAGGACAGCAGCCTGATGATATATAAAGTTACCGTTGGTATGGTAACAGAAATTGAAAAATGTAACTATGATGGGCTGTCACCAGTGTCAAGGTATATTGAAGAAATTTTTTATTTTATACAATTTTTTTATAAGATAAATGTTCGGTTTGTACTAAAGGAAAGTAAAAGGTAAAGGTCAAAACCTGAAGCTCTGGGCTGACAGGCCGAAGTGCCCACCTCTCTTTCCTTGGCGTTTGGGCCAAAGTGCGCAAGACTATAGGGGGTTCGCCACTACCTCCCACACAGCAGTGTGTTTTACCTACCAGATATTTCCTTGTCGTTTTTTTTTTTTACTTTTTCTTACATTTAATTTTCTTTTCTTTCTTTCCTCCTTATGTTCCCTTTTCTTATCTTTCTTATGTTACCAATTTCTTTCCTTTCCTTGTTCTTTCTGATGTTTCCTTATCTTTGCCCCTTCCTTTCCTTACCTCATTCTTGCTCATGTTATCCTTTCTTTTCTTTCCTTGTTTTTTCTCATGTGACCTTATCATTTCTCTCCTTTTTCTTTCTTATGTTTCCTTATCTATTCCTTTTCATTATCTTTCTTATGTTTTCTTTTCTTTTTCTTTTCCTTTTCTTTTCTTTTTTTAACTTATGTTCCCTTATCTATTTCTTTTTATTATCTTTCTTATGTTTTCTTTTCTTTTCCTTTTCCTTATCTTTCTTTGTTCCCTTTACTTTTTCTTTCCTATGTTTCCTTATCTTTCTTCCTTCTTTTATTTCTAATGTTTCCATTTCTATCTCTATCTCTGATAGGAGGTTTTTTTCTACAAAATAAACTGGCAATTCTATAAAATATCAATATATCTTTTTTCCCAGTCAACAATCCAACAGGAACAAAGTTCCCGCTACAGGCCTTGTCAATTAAGATAAAATTTAAGTCTACTTCAATTACAAAGGTAATAACAACACACTTAAATAAAGTATACATTTTAAAATGCATCACTTGAACCCTCTTTCTAACCACTAAAACCCACAAACACAGACACATCAAGACCAAGACAAAATGCTGTATATTAAGAGAAACGTGCCCTCACACGAAAAAGATGAATCAAATGGTAATTGTTGAGACTTGTTGCATTTTCCTCGCATTATTTAATATATAATATTCAATATTTGTTTATTGTTGCTGTATTTAGATTGTTGTGGATATCTCAAGGAACAGTGCTGCTTCTGGCAGTTGGTTCCACAGATGGCAGAGTGAACCTCATTAAAGTGACAGAAGATGGAACAACACAAATTGGAATCTTAGAGAATAGCACAAGCAGCAGGGTGACAGCTATATCTGCTCCTCCATCAGGAAGGTGAATATATTTATTTATATAGAAGCGGTTTGGGGCAGTGGAAACGGTTTGGTTTCACAACCTCGAGGTCGGGGTTTCAATCCCTCGCTGTGCATTTCGCTTGTGTCCTTGACCAAGCACTTTATCTGCGTTGCTTCTCCCCACCCAGGCATCGTTCCAGAGACTGGGGTATTAATGTGGAAAAGTACTCCGAGACTTGATGTGTCGAGCTTTATATAAAAACGTTCATATTATTGTTATTATTATTATTATTTATAACATTCTCCCAATATTTTTACCAAACCAAATTAAATTATTTCAACATGGAAATTCTTCTCTATCCATTTTTAAGGAGAGACTCAAGACCTACATTTTTCAAACTTTATAATTTTCCATTTTTGTTGTTTTACCTAGTTGTTTTACTTCCATCGTTTAGTTTTTCCAGGATAGGCTAGTCTAGATGCCTGTGGTCTCAAATTGCAGGACAACGGTGCGGTGATGTCGGTTCCCCTGCGATAGTCTGTTTTCTCATGCTTTTTTTTAATTCTTAGGTCGCTTGGTTCGACTTTAGGATTTTGTTTTTGGTTTGTTTTCTTTCGTGTAACGCATAGAGACCATGTAGTATGCACTTTACAAGTCCCAAACCATTACCATTACCATTATTCATAAAAGAGAATGCTGATGTTAATAAGGATGATGATGATGATGCCAATAATTATGATAATGATAAAGTTGATAATGATATCTTTATATTAATGTAATACTGTATTATTTCAGTTTATGTAAACAAGAAAGTTATTACCCTAGTTCATTGGATGCATATAATTGGATAATGATGATACTAGAGAATCATGGTGATATTGATAATGGTTATAATTTTCATATGATCATTATGTTGATCATTATCATGATACTGATAATAAATGAGAGCTAGAAAATCAGTAAAAAGTCTTCAACTAAAAAACATATATCCAGTTCTGATGACTTTGCAATTATTCAAATTACAGCTCTGTGTGTGTCGGTCAGCAAGATGGAAGCGTCTCGTTCTATATGATAAACTCGGACAGCGGCATGATAAAGTTATTGTCGACCTCCAGTATTTCGTATGGTGCTGTCCAGAGCCTAGCATGGCATCCAAGTAAAAAGTGAGAACATCATGTACATTGCTATTAATGAAAATAAATGCATATATTCAGTTGCAGTGCTACTGTAGATAATAAAAGTAAAATAAGTCAATACCTTATATTCTCGCGTATTAAGCGATCCACGTATAAGACGACCCCCGATTTTGAGAAGAGTTTTGGACAATTTTTGTATGTCGGACATATAAGAAGATCCCGTTTCACCATCATAATTCATGCATTTTGCTGCTTTTATGGTCTTGATACCTGCATGTAGCTGGCTAAAAACAAAATGTAAGGCTAATCTTTCAAATAATACCATTTTGTGGGCTTTCAAATGTTGATCAAAACCTTATTTCCCCGCAATTAAAACTGTGTTCATTCATGCTAACAGTTAGTAGCTTCATTTCAGTAGTAAATTCGCATTACGGATGATCCGCACATAAGATGAACATGATTTTAAAATAAAAAAATTGTATGTGTTGCGCATATAAGAGGACCCCTTGTAATTTGCTATTCTCACATAATAATGTCTTATTATGTGAGAATATTTGTTATATTAATTATTATTCATAAAAAGCCATTGGTGCATAGGTAAGTGTAGTGATGGTATTGATTTTTTTTTTATATTTACAGTTTAGCATCTTTTCCATCATAAATTTTTGTATTGGATTTTTTTAACTGCAGTATTGTCGTCGCTGCTGGGGAAGATGATCATATAACTGTTTTCTACATGGAAACTCTAGCTGATCGCAAGAAGGACAAAACAAGGGGAACAATCATGCATTATCGTATGTACCCTTCAATTCTAATGTATCACTAATTTTAAACACATTTAATTTTAAAATATATCAAATTCTATTTTAATGTGCCTAAGAAATTGCACAATAATTTTCTTACTAAATATTTGAATAGTTTCACCAAATTGTGCTTGGTTTATTATCGATTAAACCTTCAACAATTTTCTTACTGTTTACTTATTTCTATTTTTAATCTATTTGATTGTGTTTCTAACCTCCAGTTGGGAAAAAGCGTCGATTTGAATTGGATATCTTTAACAAGTGCTGTAAATTAAAAGGTAAAATTTTGTATTGTTAGAAATTTATTATTAAAGAATAAAATTATTTTACGAATAATAATACCCCAATTCAGTGATATTTATAGATATGCATTTCTTCATTCAAGAACAACTATTTATCTTATTATTGACTTGCAGGTCATATGTCATTTGTTGCTGCCGTCACCTTTGACCCAAGTGGCTCCTTTCTGGTCTCTGCTGGATGGGATGGGCAAATTCTTTTCTGGAATACCACAGATATTGATGATGTCATCAGTTGTGGGGCAGGTGATGTAAGCACAGTTGAATGTTCAACAGGATTCATGATTGGACAAAGGAAATTCCGCAACTTCCCTAAAGACGGAATTAATTTTATGCCTCTTGTGCTATCGCTAGCTCAGCCGATTATTTACATGCTTGCACATATCGATAGTGAGACACTATGCTTGGTGTCTTATCATATCCCTAAGAAATATAGATAAACAATCAAAATATTTTGTCAACCATTTGGAAACTGTAGACATTACAGCTGGATGATTGGTAGTAAGAATGTTTTAATTTTGTGGAGCTAAAATGGTTCTACAGTATTAGTCTAAAAGTTGTAGAAATATAAGTAAAATGATATTAAAAATTTTACAAATTTATTACAACTATTCCCAAATTTTACAACTATTCCCAGGGTCCTCATTATGAGGACCCTGGGAATTGGTTCAATTCCTGTCACGTTATCAGGATTTTTGCCCCTGACCAAAACAACTCCACTCCCTAAGCCTCAGTCTGTGTAAAGAACCTTGTGTGTGTCTTGTGATGGGATTGACATTTTGAAGTGTAAGAGTGTTTGAAAAGAAGTGTACTTGCTGCAGATACTAATCGTAATATTAAAACAATATCAACCCATCTAAATCGTCGTCGTTTTGTAATATTTCTACAACTGCTTTGATACAAAAAATAAGTTCCACAAATGAGAACACATATTTTGTACTTCAGAAATTTACTGCATAGAAATTATTCATACATTTATCAATTGTTTAAAATACGCTGTTCCTAAAATATTTATCATTATTTATAAAATAATTACTGCATATTATTGCTAATTGCCATTGACAATAAATTTGAAACCATGCTTACCTGGGCTTGCTTTGGAGGTAAACATGACTAGTATTACAATATATAAATTTTTTATGCATGTGTAATTTATAAATTGTCTTTAAAAAAAAAAACATTCTCAATAACGGTTATTGACTCACTACAGATTTGCACTCATTCCCACCCAGGCTTTAATTAGTTGGTGTGCTATAGCTTGCTTCGGTGGTATAAATAATCCTTCTCCGCTACTTGTCTTACTGCCGCTTAGTATCTCAGCGACTTGTTTCTTTGGAAACCAACAAGCACTTTCTAATTCGTCTTGGTCTACTTGAATATGACTGGATGTTGCATATGCTAAGCAGCCTATCATCAATTGCATAGGCATGGGCCAAGGCTGACATGAATGGTATTGAACTAGTTCAACTTTCACTCCGCTCTCCTCCATCACCTCACGGCGAACAGCATCCTCTATTGTTTCGCCTGTTGAACAAAAGTTGAAAAAGTTGATTTAATAATAATAATAGATTGGATCTATACACCGCATTACACCAGCTCATACAGTAACTTTCTTCCCCGCTAAGGGTCTCTTCGTGTCTGAGCTACCCTGTAAACTGGTGCTCGCTACTCTTGACTGTCCATAACAGGGTCTGTATGGACCAGTACACCCTACTTATCTTGAAAGATGTACTGGGTTCTTCATCGTGCATATTAGCCAATTGTGTACACTGGGCCTACAGTTTATAGTCCTTATCCGAGACTTGTTCCAGAAACATAGGCGATCGTGCCCATTCCAACCAGTGCTGTTATATGGCTGTACGTTGCGCCACCCCTACCTTAACAGTTCGGCCGATCACCATTTAAAATTATACAGTATGAGGAGCTATGTTAGTATTGTGAAATGTAAAAGTTTAGTTAGATAAATACTAATATCATCCACTTCTTTTTAAATATATGGAAAACAATGTTGATTAAACTTTTAATATGCAAATTATTATGGAAAACAATGTTGATTAAACTTTTAATATGCAAATTATTAAGTGTGGACTGTTCTCAGAAAGCTCCATTGCAACTACCCAACAGCAAAATAAAAGGTTTCATTGATATACTTATACCAAATGAGGCCAATCACAGAGACTGAATGATAAATTACCTGGTTCCATAAATCCCGCCAGACAGGAGAACATGCCAGGAGGAAACTGTTTCTGCCTTCCCAGAAGACACTTTTGCTTGTCAGGTGATATGACCAACATAATCACAACTGGATCTAATCTAGGATAGCTTGTGTTATTAACACCTTGTAAACTTATACAATCTGAAAGATGTACAATATCAAAATTAACTAAATACAGTGGGACACATTCAAGATAAAAAAAATGTGTCCTTTTAATAGGAGTTTCCCCTGAATAGGGTGGTCGTAGTGTTAAAAGGTGTACTTTTTCTTAGTTTGTGGCCAAAATGTGCCCCTTAAAATAATGGTGTCCCAAAGGAGGGGTTCTAATGTGTATATTAGGTGGAAAATATAGCATCAATTGTGTTGAAGAATTGGTAAAATTGTACTGCAGTTTGTATTTGATTTAAATATGGAATAGGTTTTACCAAAGAACTTATATAGGAGTAAGAGTTCTTTGGGCCGATTCGGATGAGTAAAATTTAACCGGGTACCACCAGCTGAGCGGTCGCGTGCGGCAATTAAATAATGCCCCAGGGTATAGAAAATTCGAAAAACATCTGGCCCAAAAACCCACCTTTTTTACTGGATATTTCAATTACACCTTGCCTCAAGGCGTAATTAATCACCCGTAACAAGGCCCAGGTCACAAGTTGACCCTTCAGATTTGTTAACAACGCCGGGTCAGATTGCACTGGACAAAAAGAAGCTCGCGACTACGCTGCATGATTCTTCGCGTTGTTGCCCAAGCTTTCTTTCCACGCTGGTCGTTGTCTTCGTCGTTGCTGTACTTTCTTCGTCGAAAAGCTTGGTTTAGATCAAATCCGTTGTCGAAAGTTGTCATGATAGTTAGTTTGGCTAGGTTAATCATAATTCGGCGCCAATTTGTAAGGATAATCGCAAGGAAATGAGTAAATTGTATAAAAACATAGAGAAAATAGATAAAAAGTAAGCAGAAATAGTGTAAATTCGTGTATGAAGTATTGAAATTGCCGCGAAAACATTGCTAATTTGACACGGGGTCGTCACTCAGGTCACAAACTATTCAGAATTCTGACCTTGCAGAAGCTTGTAAAATACGTAACTTCCGTCAAATTAATGGGTAAATGGATTGTTATTTTACTCGTCCGAACAACCGTCACATTTAGCCCCGAGGTTATTAGTAGATTACCCATGTAATTGAGTTTACGTCCGAATCCAACCTTTGTGTAGTTTGCATTAAAATTGATAGAACATCTGCCCTCCTATGAGTGAGGGACTATTTGATAGATTGAGAAATTACAAGTAACAGGAAACAAACTTGACTGAACCAAAGAAAATACAAAGGGCACTGCTGTGGGTTCAGGAACTGCTGTGGGTTCAGGAACCCAGATGCTGTTATACTATATTTGGTTCAGCTCTATCTTGTATTATCTTTGGTTTTACCAAGCTGCGGCTACAACACAGATAATAGGATTTTTTGACAAGCACAGTTTTCTCATGGATATATTCTGTGAAAAATTCAGCAATAAATGGTAGTAGCTAGTGCACAAGAACATTTAACCGAGTCACATGATTATGTACCAACCTTTATTTGTACAGATTCTTTTATACCCAGCCTCCGCACAGTCTGTTATACTACCACACGTTGGACAGAACTTGTACCTGTGGTGCCAGGTGAGAAGAGACTTGGATTGAGCAATAGCCCCTGCTTGCATTTCATCTATGGTCATGATAGCGTACCTATTTTTGGAAGATAAAATTTCTGCATCCTTACGAAACTCGGAGACCTTTTCTTCTTGAAGGCTTGAAACATCCAGTGCAAACCACGCGATTCTACCATCATTCTTTTCTGATTTATCCAGGTTTCCAAGTCCAAGGAAAACATAAATGGGTTTGGGCTCCACATCGAACATGAATGAAATATCCTTGTAAAATATAGGGCATATTTCATAGATGTTATCACGGCAGACAACAAGTGGGTTTAATTTATGGAAAAGAATAAATCTTGTTGTAGGTTGGTGCATCTGTTCTTCGATCCAGTCCTGTTTAATCCGTAGTGCTGCACATCGATCCAATGGGTTAATTCCAAAGAAATTGACTTCAACAGAAGGAAGTTGACCCAACTGGGTAGAAGCATTTGATTTACCAGATATGATGTTCACTATTGAATCATGATTCCAGAACTTGGCTATTTCAAGGGCTGTCTGACCGGACTTAGTCATCAAGGAAACATCACACCTGTAAATCGATAATAATAATAGTAGGTTGAGTTATAAGTTGCAAATAAACCACAAAAACAGACTAGTGCAGGGAACCAAAACCATTGCACTATTTTCTTGCAATTTGAGACCACATTTAAAAACAGTGGTCAGTAAGGTCATTACTCACAGGCAGTCACCTAACTAGCCTACTAAAAAAAGAAAAAAAAGACAGTTCATTGGAGAAAACAAGAGATCACAAAGATCATAAATGTGAGTTGTAAGCTGCTTCTTAATAGTGGCCAACAAAGGAGACTGATGTTAAATGAATTGGCACAACAGCTATCGGTATACAACAGAAATGTACGGTATAGTGATCTGTTATACATACCCTTTTTGAACAAGTGCTTCAGCAACATCTGTCTGTCCATTTCTGGCAGCAAACATTAAAGCAGTCCATCCTTGCTCATTTTGTGCATTCAAAAGTGTATTATGTTTACCGGTGCCAATCAATTTCAGTACCAGTTCAACCTGGCCTTTACTTGCGCTGTCATGAAGCTCATTCATCAGTCCATACATTGGAGTACCACCCGCCATCAGACCTATTTATATTAAGAATAACAATATAAATATACTGTAATAAAGTAATACTGTACAGTAATTGCAATGTCAACTTCGAAAACTTTTCCAGGAATTATGAAGTGTGAGTAAGCTCCTACTACAGTATCGTGGTTATACTGTACTCAACTTTGAGAACCAGTGATCACATAAATAATTAACATAACTACAGTATATATGGGCAGGTGGTAATTTGTTGGCTATTCACTGATTGAAACTAACAGCTTTTGCTGGCAGTCCACTTTATGCTGTGCTTCATCAGTTAAAGTGACCACATAAGAGCAACATACAGTAGATCAGTCAGGTAATCTCATGATTTCTAGCCACTCTATGTGCACTGAACCGTGACGATACTCATACTCAAGTCTTACAAATGTTTCTTACAAGGTATCCTTCAGGAAACAGTGAAATACAGGTATCCTTGATCTGTTTTGACACTAACAAATCCAAAAATCTATCTAATGAAGCCAGCATAGATTGTCAGTGATTGAAAGCTGGTTTCTCAACCAATGGTAAGACTAAAGAAATCAAAGTGGCACACTACAATACATGTTATATTTAAATGAGGCAGCATTGAGAATAAAAACTTAATAACATAGTGATTGGTACATAAAGTTATGCAAATGTGTTTATATTCAATACCAGCACCAATAATCCACAGAAAAATATATGCTGGTCTAGTGTGTTTATTATATTTTTATTTTTTAAATATAGGCCTGTCTGTGTGGAACCCAAATCTATTTGTTTTCATTTTATTTTAACATTTAACCATATTAAAATGACATTTAGAAAAAAAAATGTTTAAGCTTTGAATATTTTGAAAATATTTCAGTTATTCAGGTATATAATTACACTACTTATATTCTAGCTTCGATTATGCTGTATTTTATTAAGACAGCAAGACTGAGGTTTAAGTTTAGGGTCAAGCCAGCTCCACAATTAACACCTTGGATTTATGCAAGGTTGGTAAAACAATATCTTGGCCTAGGCCTGGCCAAATATATTCTCTTTTCTCCTAATTAATTGTCACTTGTAAAACAGGATTTTACTAGGCCCAATAAAAAAAAATGATTAGTTTATCACCCTTGTATGCACGTCTTCTACAGTATTACATTTTTTTTTAAACATTATTTTTTAAAAAATCATTTATTATTCATTTCTTTAGTAAATAGTTACCAGTTAACATTAGGGTGATACATGGCTTCAGAAAAATAAAAATATAAAAATAAAAAACCTTCCTCCCTCCCTCATCACTTCTCCATCCACAAAGGTTCCAACCCTCCCGATTCAATCGGGAGTCTCCTGAATTTTCATGCTATCTTCCGGTCTCCTGAATTTGTTCAAGTTCTCCCGGATTTCAAAAACTATAGACTAAGCTAGGCCTAGATCGTGAAAAAAACATGGGATTCCCTCGGTAAAATATGAGATTACTAGGCCACATGGATGAACAACCATAGACTTGTATCTTATTATAAATTACGTTTATACATCTCTCAAAAGACGTTAATGCTATCAGAATATTTTGCCGTTGATGGCGCTTTTTACTAATTGCTGGGAATGGGGGCGCCCTTCACCTGCAAATTTTCCTGTCTCCCAATTTTTCAGGTTTAGCCCTAGTAGGGGTTTGAACTGTCTTCATCCAGCCCATCAAAGGGTGATAAACTAATAATTATTTTTATTGTACCTTTAATTTTATGACATCTATCCAAAGCAAAAATCACATTAATTATTATTATTATTCATAATACTAGTACGACTACTAAGTAAGGGCCTACTACTACTAGCTCTCTACTACAGAGGCTATTCCCTCCATTAATAATAATATAGCAATTAGGCCTAGGCCTATAGGCCCTATCTACGCTAGGCCTAGATAGAGTAGGCGCATAGCCTATGCCATAGGCTAGCTAGGACGTAGGGTAGGCCTAGGCCTAGGCCTACAGGCCTAAACTTTAATTAGGCTTAGCATTCACTTATGACGTCCACGCGTTCATCAGATCGTGGGTAGCAATCATTCCCCTAGCACAGAATAATATGACCGATAATGCATGCACGCCATCAAAATTACCATTTGAATTGCCTTGGTTAACGCCTCCTCTACCACTTATTATGACACAAGCGTCAAAAACATGGGCGCTGCCATGACAGTCTTTGTACACAAAGTGTATTCCGAAGAACACAATCATGCTGGAAACTACAACTTTAATAACAAGAATGATTTATAAATTATTATTTTTTGTAACTTAAAATAATTTTGAAGTAAATTTTATAAAAATAAACTATTGTTTATTTTGTATATGTTATTACTAAAGAAGAAATTGTTGGTTTGTTTGGCGATGATGTCAAGTTTTATCCAATCAGCGATTGCCATCCAGTCCATTTATACCGTCCTCTATTGTAAATTACAGTGTACGTGTGTGTGCGCTAGCTCAAAAAGTCAGTGTTTTCTTTACCAATATGGGTTAGTTTTTTACTTCATTTTTCATATTTATAATAATATAATTTCACGCATTCTATTTCTGAGAGGTATATATGTGCATCTAAACAAAATGCTTCTAAGCTAGGCTAGCCAGATCTTTCTACTAGTCTAGGCCTAGTTATGAGGCCGTAGGAAGGTAGGCTACTAGCCTGGCTAGGTCAGGAGGAGGAGCTAGGCTTAGGCACAAAAAAAGTCACTAGTTTTCGTATTTTATATTTGTTTTTGTTAAGGAACCACATCAAATTTCATTGTATATGTATTGTACATGTATATATGACAAATAAAGTTTATTGAGTATTTACTGCATAATTTAGCCTTTTTTTAATTGTGCCTGGGGTACTGTATTATCGATTAAAGTTAATTTTAGAAATTGACCATTTTATTGTCTATACTGTTCAAAGTTAATTATACATTTTTTAATATATACGTACTGTCTGACCAATCTAGCTGTGTCATCTGGGCCTTCTGCTGTGCTGTCATCATTACTGATGCTACTTTTGTTTGCTGGAATGCAAGTATTTAAAGTACAACTAGCCTCCTCTGAGCTCATGACTATCCTTGGCGGCTTCCTCGGATCGTTGCTTTTTATTCTCGGTCTCACTGCCATGAACAACGTAGAAAATGCTTTATTCGGTAAAGGATTCCAAGCAAAAATATTTCCAGAAGGTAAGAGACGCATGTCAATCATAAAGTAAAATATTGGTTTAATTATTTCATATATTTTAATTTTTTGTATTACTATATCATGATTGTTTTGATGATTTTTTTAAATACTTTGTTATTAATTATTTGTTTCAGTAATAAATCATATTTTAATCATTTATAATATATTTTTAATATACATTTTAAAATTTTTATGTATGTTTTTTGTGGTTTTTTTTCAGTTGTCATTTGCCTTTTAGGTGCCTGTTTTGCTTCTGCCCTTGTCCACAGAGTGTGTATAACAACATGGTAAGATTCATTATCTACAATATAAATCATTGTCATCATAACTATCACCATCATCATGGCGATTATCATTATTATCATCATCCCCATCGTCATCTTTATACTGTATAATCTGTGTTTATGATTGTGAGAATACAAAAGTATGCTGCACTTTATATTACTTATGTTTTGGTCACATTTTTTTTTCAATCAAGTATGCCACAATGTCTTCAAACACCATTGCCATTATTTTATTAGTTTTTCTATAACATTTACATTCATATCTTATTTTTTTTTTTTTTTTTTTTTTTAGTTTCATATTTTCTTTAGTGGAGCTGTACTATATTAACAAGATTTCTGCTACCAAGTATGCACCTCCTGTTACAGCACAAACACCAGGAAAGAAGAGGCGATAATTACCAATTTACCTGCAGTATCTACACAATAAAACACTTTAATTGGACAGTTTTTTTAAAGTTCAGTAGGAATGCCTTGTGCAAAACGTGAAGTTTAATTAAAAGCACAATTTTCATCTGATTAAAACTAAGATGTATTTCTAAGCTGTTTATTGATGTGCAAAACGTTAAACTTAATTAAAAGCACGGTTTCATCTGACTAAAACTAGGATGTATTTCTAGGCAGTATTGGTTTCATTTCATCATTTTTTTTCAATTTAGTACTGTTAGTTTTTCTTTATATTTGTTAAATTATGATTTATTTTTAAAATAAATCACAATATCATACCTTTAGAAAGTTGTTAGGCATGTCATCCTTGAATATGAATTATACTAGAACTATCTTTGGCTTATATAGGTGGTATAGTAACTTAAAAGGTTTATTGCTCAATAAAGTTCTTGCTGTCGTAAGGTTAACAAGTATTATACATGGCTTCCACAATGCAGTGTCTACGCACTAATATATTGTAAGCATATCGACCGCATCAAGTCAATTTGTATTTTATTCGAAAGTTATATTATCTGATTTTGAATGCTATAATATCCCATTTGTGGAAAATGTCTAAATTATTTGCCTAAATTGTGAATGTATTTTGTTGAGCAATTATTAAAAACTGTAAGTTAGAGCCAATCATAAAATTCTCAATTGGGTGTTACAGTATTTAAATTATAATTAAAATACATAATTTTACTGGTTATTGTAACATTTGTCAATTAGCTGTCGAAGTGATGATTAGCGATCTGAACATGATTAGTAGATAAGTAATAAATTTTCATTCTTTAATAATTCTTTACAAGAATATTGACTTGTTTTTGAATTGAAGCATTGCATCCAATGCATTATTTTGCTGTTCTGACGCCTGATCCGGTGGTTAAAGGCATAACTTTTCATCGTTGCATTATTTCTCTCTGATTGCATGTAGATTTGCCACAAGTCCTTTTTTTATCATTATGGACAGCGCCACCTACGAGTAAGTTAATTTAAAGCATATCAAAGAGTATAAAGCTGTTTTATACTATTTGAGCATATTTCACATTATTAGGCACGGAATACAAAAAAAAAAACCGAGTATGGGACGCCAACTAAATTTGGTATGGCGTATGCTAAGCGCAATAAAAAGTGAGCCAAATTTAGGAACCCAGGCAACTTTTTAAGGTATGCACTTGTTATCGTTGCTAATAGATGATTGGCATAAAATTCTAAGCTGCTGAAATACAATGTGCAATGCGATAAATTAATGATTCCTAGTCTATTTTCTTTATAATAAGTCGGTGCAATTTTAAAATGGCATGATTTTAGATAAGTGAAATATACTGAATCTTTTCAGTAATCATGCTATCGGTTGATTTCCCCTCGATTTATCTTCGGGAGAACTCCAAATTTTCGTGGGGAATCCCCGGACCCCTAGGATAGTGTTATCACGAAACCCCCCCCNCCCATAGACAATAGGCCTATGCCTTTGAAACTGGAAACATGGACAAATACAAGATTGTCTGCAACAAAGTGTCAAATCTAAACAACTTGGAAGCGCTTTTACAAAAACACAGTTGAATCCATAATGAAATCAGACACAAAACTTCTTAAACCTCAGTAATAAACCAGCGAGTATCCGATAAAGGAAGCTACATTAAGACCTGTGTAGCTCCTGTGATTATTCATTCACACGAGCGAACGAACGAACGAATAAACCAGACAATCTTGGTAGTTTAGCAAATTCACTTTTTTACGGTGTCAAACAAAATTTAATGCCAGCTGATAAATCAATACTCCATACTGAACTTTATCAACGAATAATAGGCCTAATGCCTGTAAAGGAGCTGTACCAGACCGATTAATCGTCAGTCCAGAAGCCGTTGAAATCAAACTTCATAACATTACCAGATACAAAGCGCCAGACCCAGATGACATTCCTAACTGAATACTAAAAGAATGATCAGCTAGATTGGCGTATTCTCTGTGTGCAATCCCCTTTTCAACCCATCATGCACGCCATCGTATTATCGTTTCCCTAGCTATTTTTTCATATTTATTTATTCAACAGAACATACACTTTAGATTCAGTGGCACACAACAATTTGGTGCGTTCAATGAGAAAGAAAAACAACGAAAAGAAATGTGTATAAGAGACAGTATATATATTCCATGAAGGAATTAGTTTAAACTAATTCCTCCTTGGTACGAGGGCTCTAAAGCTGGTTTTCCACTAGGCGAATTTATTCGCTCGAATCGAAAGCGTCGGTTCGCCTCCTGAATTCTGATTGGCTGTATGTTTTTTTCGCTTCGCAATAAGTAGAAAAATTTCGAATTACCGATTTCGTTGAAGCGAAAACACCTATAGAAATGTGGATGCGCATACGCATGAACTAGTGAAAAAACGGTTTAACTGCTGCATGACAAGCATCTTGATTATAAGAAATCTTCGAATCCTCTACAAGTTACGTAAATGGTACCGGTAACGTACACTACTTAGGCCTATCATAGGTCCTACGTCATCGTAAATAAACACGTTTATAAAGAAATGCTTGTGTCTTCGGAGTTATTCATTTTAACACTGTATACATTGTATTTAAAACCCTGTCCCTCAAAGTGTTTCATATTAAACCGCACACAAGGATACTCTCGATTAAGCGCCGCGGCACTTATTCGATAGCGGCGCTTAGCGAAAAAAATTATCAGATTTGGTGCGACGCTTATTCGAGTGCGGCGCTTTATTCGAGTATTTACAGTTATCTAATCTAATGGGTTTTTGTTTTTTTTGAGAATCATCTTTTGTTTTATTTTTTATGTGAGAATGTCACTTTTTAAGTTTTAATTTGTTTACTATTGACTGTTATTTTATCTGGATTGTATATTTTATGTACGGTATGTACCGCTGTCTGTCTGTTTAATATTGTTTGAAGGTTTGCATGGTGAAGTAATAATGCTTGTAGATAGTTCTAAAAAGGACTGTTGTTTTTGTTGAGTGTGTCTCGACCTTTCGATTCAGTTGCCTCAATCGTCATCAGGAGAATATTATTATTATTATTGTGGGAAAACATCGGCAAGTTAACGATGCAAGTAAAGGGATTTTCGGCATAAGAATAAGAATAAGAGGAAGTCTTACTGATTTCATTGTTATTGAAACGTCCTGAAAAGGTAACAATACCCTGGTTTATTTACCAATGATTCCCTTTCACTTGTGTTATATACATTACATGGTTCAACTATCAACCATTATTTCCTAATGTAGGTGTATTTTGGTATTTTGTTGTATACTTGTTCAATCAGATTGAATGTTTCCGGGTTTACTTTCGTTAGACCTAGGACTATATTTCACATTCAGTGAAGAATCCTAGTTTGAAAGCAATTATCTCGACCTTTCGATTCAGTTGCCTCAATCGTCATCAGGAGAATATTATTATTATTATTGTGGGAAAACATCGTCAAGTTAACGATGCAAGTAAAGGGATTTTCGGCATGATCTTAGTTCAGAATCTTAGTTGAAAACAATATTTTAAAGAACAGTTGCACGCAGAGATGAATGAAAATGTTTTAAGCTATCTACGGGGCTTCCACTCATATGAACGTAGTTTTAATTTGCGTGTAATTGCAGACGATAATGAGATCAAAACAGCCTATGAACAAGCAAGAATAAGAGGAAGGCTTCCTTTTAACAGATCAAAAATCTTAATTCTAGGAGATCACAATGTGGGAAAGACGTCGACATGCAGACGCTTGCAAGGTAAAGATTTTCGTCATGACGAGCCTAGTACAGTGGGAATTGAAACAAATACTGTCAAAGCAAAAGTTAGTGATGTTAACGGTAAATGGTGTGAAGTATCAAATGCACCACTAGAAGAATTTGAGAGTTCGGCAGCATGGTGGGCAGTATCACATGTGAGGAAACACGGTGTGAATGAAAACACGAGGACCAGTAGCAAGTCAGAAGTCAACCCACAGACCTCGTTAATAAATCTAAAGAAAGACATATTTTATCAGATAACACACAATATTCCCATGCTAGTTATGTTTCTAAACGGTGGATTTACATTCGGATTTGGATTAGTTGTATGGATATGTAATCTTTGCTTAATGTATATAGGCGATGTTCACAGTGGGTACCGTTTCGGTTGTGGATACACAATTGGAATGGTTTTAGTAGACAGCGCAATTGAACTTGGTCTAAGGATCCATATTTCCACTGTTAAAATAGCTTTGTATGTAATAGCTGGCTTAATTGCCGGGGTGCTTATGGGATCAGGTGGTAGAACTGGATTATGCATAGCATTCTGTGTTATGGTGCATCCGAAACAGAAAACATTCACCATCGATAATGTTACAGAAATGATATTAGTCATCTACAGCAAAGCATATAATAATTTGATAATTTACACTGTTGGAATTATTACTATTCTGGTGTTTAGGTATGTTCCCGTTAAGATATTGTCGTTGAATCGACAAAACTGCATACCTGTTTTAATAAGCATTTTTGTTTGTCTCAAAGCCGCGGGCTTTATCGGAGGGCCGGACTTTTTACGCCTATTTTATACATGTACATGTATTTTTGTACTTGTGAGTGTTATGTCAGCTGGGATCCTTTTTGGAAGAAAATTTGCTGCTTATGGGTATATTCCTCAAATATATATTATTAAGAAATCTATTGGTTTTGTGGCAGGTATATTTATAGCATTTTTTTGTGGGTGGGAACTGGCAGATTTAAGAACTCTAAACTTACATGCCCATTATTCTCTTTCACGATATTTGTTGAGCTTATTCCTCTTTCTGACACCGATCATTGCCTTTTTAGTCTACGAATGGTTTTCATATGTGAAAGTGAAGAATACAACCTCTATACCGGTAAAGCATATAAAAAAATCAATGGAAGCAGATATTCGTAATGAATCATCTTATTTGGATGCTAGACTTAGTCTATGGGACTTTGCAGGACAAAACATATACTACAACACCCACCATCTCTTCATGCCAAAGCAGGGTGTATATCTAATTGTGTTCAACGCCGTTGAAGCGGTTATAAATCCTGAAAAACAAATCAAACGGCTACAATTTTGGTTGCAATCAGTTGCTATGCATGGAGACATTAACAATGTTGTGGTGTTTCTTGTAGGAACAAGACGAGAAAGTGTTATGGACATAAATGCACTTTTGCATTTTACTCAACTTGCGAAAGCACGTCTCTACAAACCCTTTTCTAGGTTACTTGCGTTCCACCCTTTAGGCAGCTTTTTCTTTTTTATAGAAAATTCGTTACAAGTAGACCAAGAACGCAAAGTGCTACGAACAGTTATCTATAGTGAGATTAAAAAATTGGATTTTTTTCAGGAGAATTATTTAGTAAAATACCTTTTATTTCATGAAATTTTGAACAGGTTTCGCCTGCAAAAATACATTATCATGAGTTTAGCAGACATCTTCGAGGAAATCAAATCAACATGTAATATCATTTCTCAGAATGAGTTGTGCCAATTCTTGAACTTCTTTGACAGATCCGGTGATGTCATATACAATGAACGTGATGAGACACTCCGACATTACGTTATCTGTGATCCTCAAATGCTTATAGACATTCTGACAATATTAGCGAATGTGCCTGAACCTCACCAAAGAAATCGGACAGTAGCTGATTTATGGCAGAATTTGGAAGACACTGGCATTGTTGACAGTAAATTACTGGAACACATTTGTAGAGAGAAAAACATATGGCGACATTACCCTTACATCATTCGTTTCTTAGTGGGAACACATCTACTTTTCCCGGTTAATGTTATTGATCCAATCGACCAAGTCGGCACTTTTTTTCTCTCATATGGGCTGCCAAAGAACAATTTAATGCCAACACAGAACAGCAATCACTCGAAAGAAATTTTCTATTTCGACTTTAGTGAAATTCTTCAAGAAATTATATTTCTACGTCTCATAGGTAGATGTTGTGAAATGTTTAGTTTGGATGAGATCTGTTACAATGAAGCAAGATTGAGGAAAGGTAAATCATGTCTTTTCTCCATCAGTACAGAAGTAATTCCTGGAAACATTAATTTATACGACAGAAATCTTATCAAAATTGAAGTTATAAGCGAAGACAAAACTGAAACTATGGTTGTTCTACAGAAAATGATTATTTTTATTGAAGAAATAATCAAGCGGGATTTCAACCTGGACTACTTTAGGAAACAATACATATGTGGACCTGTGTGTCAGAAGTGTAGTTCTCTAGATGGAACAATGTGTTTGGTGAACCTCATTACACATGGAAACGATATATCTACACTGGGTGGCTATAAACCAGACATTTATCATGAGGTCACACTTGAGCAAAAGGTATCGGAACGTATTCACTTTTTTTTATAAGAAGCAAATTTTTTTTAGGCTCAGTTTTCTTATTTTTCAGTCGATTTCCTGTTCAAAAATATTCTTATTTGGTTCTTATTTGTACACACTTTTCAAACATGGAAAATTATTATTGTACAGCAGTATATTACTGTACTGTATTATAGAGGGTATTTGCATAGTCACACCTATAGAAAATAAGGTACAGAGAAGATTTGGTGGTTTTCTATTTTTTTTTTTTTTTTTTTTTGACATAAAAAATTGGCCTTTTAACACAACTGTGAACTTTGTCAGTCATCCAGGTTAGAGTTATTGTATTTAATGGATCTTTTATACTGGACCAATTCAGAACGCATGACCAGTCGGCCTTGCCACGCGTCGGGGATTGGAGTAGAAAAGATCCATTAATAATATTTGACGCATAATAAGTATTTTGGGCTAGTTTTCTTGGGAAAACAAAACGCCGGCCTTTTTTTAAGATTTTGGGTTACTCAGGCTTGAATAACACATTTGCTTTTTGGTATGATGTTGATGATATTAATAGACATATTAAATGATGAAGATAATTATTATGAATATGATGGTAATAATGGGCAATGGGAATAACAGTAATAAGTACCATAGGCTCACTTGCTCACAACCTAGTCTTATGCATGTAGCAAGATTTCGATATTGTGGAACATTACTGTTTGTCATGATTCTTTTATTAACCATTTCATGACGTAACTAAATATTTTCTTGTTTTGCAGTTGAATGTCACGTGTAGTCGAATAAGAGACAACCAGCTCTGAGGATAATAGACCTTTCCGGAGTGTCAATCATACTTAACAACTGACTAATCAGAACAGCGTTAGGAATACGCGCGCGTCTTACAAACACACGTGTTGTCCCACAAACGCACGTGTTCGCGTATGTTTTAACACTGCCGTCTTGTGAGACCTTAGCAACAAAATCCAAAGGGCGGAGCTTAGTGGAAAGGTTCATTAATAGGGAGCTTTCGATTTGTGCCACAACGGGACGCTAGAACGGAATCACTCATGCGCGACCGTCCTACCTGGCGTCCTTCGTTCTCTGCATACGTAGATTTGGCCAACTTGTGTTCCAGAAACTACTCGACGAGGTGACCTTAACGTTCTCGCATGCGCAGATGACTTTTAGTGACGTCATTAGGTTCTACGTCCTACCGTCGTCGTGCAATCGAAAGCTCCCTATTAGCTGCCCAAATACACGACAACAACAATTAAATTTGTAAGGCACACCAGGGAACTGGCACACACACTCTACAATACGATTTTCGAGACCTCAATGAACTTCGAACAACGCTTAGTCTTTTACCACGGGCACCGACGAGACAACTAGCCTTGGAACTGCCAAAATGTTCATGTTATGAAATGTCCGCGGCAGAGTTACGAAGTTCGAGTTTAGAAATGCCAACGCTCATTCATTAATTCCTTATTCAGTCAGAAGTACGCAAATATACATATTGTTGGCTGGGATTAGTGTTTGTTAAACTCTTAGGTACTGTATCTCGCTGTCTGATTTTAAGAAATACATTGATGTTACCATGCTAATAACTAATGGATATTTTCCTATTGAGCTGCACGAGTTATAAAAAGTGTTATTCCAGCTTTGGTTATATTACTGGATTATTGTTAATGGCACTTGTGATGTTTGAATGACTAATAAAATGTCATCCTTTAACACTTCTCTTTACAAAAATATTGACTTATTTTTAACTTGAAGCAGTCATGAAACAGTGCATCCAAGTCATTAGTTTGCTATTCAAATGCCCTGTGTATAAAGGAATACGGGATTTTTTATCTTAACTACCGGTATTGCTCCATTATAATTATTATGTGAGCGTATTATGTGAGCGTATACGCATTTGCATAAAAGAGAGTGCCTGGGGATTTGATTTGCGTAGTATTAGATGTGAACCAGGAAAGATTTTATCCGATTGAAACAAGTATACATATACCTGTATAAGGAAATGGTAGACGAAATGTTTGTATACCTAAAACAATACCCTGGTTTATTTACCAAGGATTCCCTTTCACCTACATTACATCTACATTAGGAAATAATGGTCGAAACGTGTAATGTATACATGATAAGCCTTACTGATTTCATTGTTATTGAAACGTCCTAAAAAGGTAACATACCCTGTGTAGCTGCCTCAACGTAGCAGCTTTAATATGCTGATCAAAAAGGACACTGAAACGATTTTACTGGCTTCGGCTGTATCATTTATTCTATATTTCTTGCCGTCATATCAAGCCGTGTCGTAAAATTCTGGCAATCAAATAACAACAATCATAATTATTAACATTCAGAAAATAGCAATACAATCATAACACTAATTAATTAAATCATCATTAAATCAAATTCAGGCTTATGTAGTTATTTATCATATTATTATCAACACTGATCATCCACATTATCAACTGTAATTACTAATTATTATTATAATCGTTTTCATAGGTAAGTCAATGTATTACAAATGATTCCACAGTCGAATGTAGATCCTAGTATAGAGAAATATCATAGTTAACAACAATTACATTCTACGATGCTGATTGGCCAATAAAAAACGCCAATAAAAGCTTTCTTCTTTGTTTGGCTTCTGGTTGTCCACAATCACAAAAGCAGCCATGAAAGTGCAGCACGACTGCAGCCCACAAAATTAAAACCCTATTAAAACTGCACATAAAATCGAGTAATTTTGCATCAGTTTGGCATCCTCTCATCCTCCTCTGTTCCAATTCCCATCATGGTTGGTGCTAGTAATTAATTTTCTTTTGTTTCCCCAATTAATATTTTTGAATGGAACAAAAATCAATATCACTAATAGGCCCTATGATAGGGGACTAAATACCACACCAGATACATACTCCATAAAGGCATTTCTCATGGCAATTTCTCAAGGATAACCTAAAAAAGAGTAAAAGGTATAATACAGACACAGTGATAAGCTAGGACCTATTGCACTTCAGTTAGGGTTTTCGAATCGACTGTCTGTGCTGTGCCCAACTCATACGGTATGCCGTGAAATATTTATACAGTATTTCTATCTACAACATTCTACCGTGCGAATAAGAGTTTTTTTTTCGACAATTCGCACAGTACCGTGCGAATAAGGTCTTATGTGTCTCATTCGCACGGTAGACCTAGCCAATCAGCATTTAAGGTTTCATGACGTAACGGCTGTCATACCGTGCGATTAAGTTCTTATTCTTAATTCACACGGTACCGTGCGAATAACCTCTTCCGTGATGTTAACAGTAAGTGGCGTAAAGTATCAAATACACCACTAGAAGACTTTGAATGTTCGCAGCATGGTGGGCAGTATCACATGTGAGGAAACACCGTGTAAATGAAACAAAGAGGCCCGGTAGCACGTCAGAAGTCAATCGACAGATTTTGCCAAAAAATCTAAGGAAAGACGCATTTTATCAGATAACACACACTATTCCCATGCTAATCATGTTTCTAAACGGTGGGTTTACATTCGGGTTTGGACTAGTTGTATGGATATATATTCTTTGCTTAATGTATCTAACCAATGTTCACACTGGGTACCGCTTCGGTTGTGGATGCACTATCCCATTGGTATTCGTAGACAGCGCATTTGAGTTGGGTCTATGGATCAACATTTCCATTGTGAAAATAGTTGTTTATGTAATAGTAGGCTTAACTGCTGGTATACTTATGAGAATAGGTGGTAGAACTGGACTATGCATAGCATTCTGTATAATGGTACATCCGAAACAGAAAACATTAATAATGTTACAGAAATGATATTAGTCATCTACAGCAAAGCATATTATAATTTCATAATTTTCATTCTTGCAATTATTACTATTCTGACACTTAGGTATGTTCCCGATAAGATATTGTCGATGAGTCGACGGAACTGTATACCTATTAACAAGCATTTTAGTTTGTCTCACAGCCGCGGTTTTTTTTTTTTTTTTTTTTTTTCGGAGGGCCGGCTTTTTTACGCCTACTTAAATTTTGCATGCACATGTATTTTCGTAATTACAGTTGGAGTCCTTTTGGGAAGAAAATTTGTTACTTATGGGTATATTCCTCAAATATATATTATCAAGAAATATATTGGTTTTGTAGCTAGCATATTTATAGCATATTTTTGTGGGTGGGAACTGGTAGGATTAAAAAGCTTACACGGTGCCCAATACTCTATTCCACGATATATCTTCAGCTTAATGCTCTTTCAGGCACCGATCATTGCCTTTTTTGTCTACGAATCGTTTTCATGTGTGAAAGTGAAAAATACAACTGCTATACCAATAAAGCATATCAAAAAATCAATGGAAGCAGGTATTCGTAATAAATCCTATTTGGATACTCGACTCAGTCTATGGGACTTTGCAGGACAAAACATATACTATAACACCCACCATCTTTTTATGCCAAAGCAGGGCGTCTATCTAATACTGTTCAACGCGGTTATGAATCCTGGATAACAAATTAAACGGCTACAATTTTGGTTGCAATCAGTTGCTATGCATGGAGACATTAAAAATTTTGTAGTGTTTCTTGTAGGAACAAGAGGAGGAAGTGCTACCGACATGAATGCACTTTCGCATTTTACTCAACTTGCAAAAGTACGCCTTTACAAACCTTTTTCTAGGTTACTTGCGTTCCATCCTTCAGGCAGCCTTTTCTTTTTTATTGAAAATGCCTTACTAATAGATTCCGAACGCAGCATGCTACGAACGGATATCTATAATGAGATTAAAAAATTGAATTTTTTTCAGGAGAATCATTCAGTAAAATACCTTTTATTTCATGACATTTTGAACAGGTTTCGCCTACAAAATTACATTATCATAAGTTTAGTAGAGATCTTTGAGGAAGTCAAATCAGTATGTAATATCATTTCTCAGAATGACTTGTGCCAATTCTTGAACTTCTTTGACAAATCTGGTGATGTCATACACAATAAACGTGATGAGACACTCCGACATTACGTTATCTGTGACCCTCAATTGCTTATAGACATTCTGACAATCTTAGTTAATGTGCCTGAACCTCTCAAAAGAAATCGGACAGTAGCTGATTTATGGCAGAGTTTGGAAGACACTGGCATTGTTGACAGTAAATTACTGGAACACATTTGTAGAGAGAAAAACATTTGGAGACTTTACCCTTACATCATTCGTTTCTTAGTTGGGACACATTTACTTTTCCCGCTAGATGTTATTGATCCAATCGACCAAGTCAGCACTTTTTTCCCTCGTGTCGACTGCCAAATAGGCCTATAAATTTAATGTCAACACAGAACAGCAATGTTCACACGCAAGACATTTTCTATTTCGACTTTGGTGAAATTCTTCAAGAATTTATATTCCTACGTCTCATCACTAAATGCTGTGAAGTGTTTAGTTGGGATGAAATCTATTACAATGCAGCAAGATTTAGGACAGGTAAATCATGTCTTGTCTTTATCAGTACAGAAGTAATTTCTGGAAACGTTAATTCATACGACAGAAATCTTATCAAAGTTGAAGTTACAAGCGAAGACAACACTCAATTGTTCGTTCTACAGAAAATTATTATTTTTATTGAAGAAATTATCAAACGGGATTTCAATCTGGACTACTTTAGGAAACATTACATCTGTGGACCTGTATGCGAGAGGTGTAGTTAATTAGATGGAACAATGTTTTTGGTAAACCTCATTTCTCATGGAAATGATATATCTACACTGGATGGCTATAAACCAGACATTTATCATAAGGTCACACTTGAGCTGAAGGTATGTTCGGAAATTATAGTCCTGACAGTTTCCTATAATTATTCAATTCATCTTATTTTTCCAATTAATATTATTAATATTGTATTATTATTATTATTA